TTAAGAAAAGGAACACAAGAGCAATCAGGGAGATGCTAGTTGAGGGCGTCAAGGCGATGTTTAAACTATTACTGCGGGTGACAATACGAGTTCCTCGGGTAGTGCCTTCCAGGAATTTATCAGTACGTGACAAAGACGTGCCAACCCGAGTCTGACCAGCTTGGAATTTGTACAACTTCAACGGATGCCCACAAAGAGTATGTAACTGTAAGGTGAAGAAGCTAGGATAGCTCTGGGCTGATCCGCCCTGTTAGTATACAGTAGGTGAGGAATAAATTACCACGAATACGGCGATACTCTTGCAAGCACATCTCTAGCATGAGCGATTTGTCAGGGTAGGGCAGGTGCGGTAACCCTCCGACTATTTTGTTACCACTCCTTAAGACCCGCTCTACTGCCATCCTGTCACTAGTCAGGCAAGGAGAACAAATCGACGCAGTGCTCCCGGTACGGTCTAACAGGCGGTATACAATTTTACGAACATTTCTTCCCTCAGGGTTCCAAAGGATCTACGGATCATCTAGACGGTTCCGAAATCCTTACGAGCCGCTAGTTTCCCTTTCCGAGATAACATGATACCAAGTCAACTTCTTGGAACATGAGGTAATTCGGTCCCGCCAAGCATGTGCTTCGTCCTCGAGCCATTTGATCCTACGCGCAAAACTGAACGGTGTGATTTATTGAAAACTTCCACGAAACAGGTGTTATAATCTTCTCACTAGACGCGTGCTAGCACTTTCTGTCAGTGTAAACGATCGTTTCTTTGCTCCATGCCGCCGGTTAAAATCCTGTTCCATTCTGCGGTTTCTTCACCAACAGAGGATTCCGAGCGCGGTCGGATGGCGTCGATAGGCATGCGGAGCTTCCGGTTCATCATAGCATGTGCTGGATAAACTCCGTCCGGCGCTTGCGGATTCGGTGTTGATCGGTAGAGGATAAGGAACCGGTCTACGGCCTCTATACGTCCCTCCCCTTTTGATTTGTGGAGAGCTCGCTTGAACTTATCGACAAACCTTTCTGCCTGGCCATTCGACTGTGGGTGAAACGGCGGCGAGCGAATGTGCTGGACGGCGCATTGCTCCCAGAATTCCGTAACAGTTGCCGAAGTGAATTGTGTGCCATTGTCAGTTACGATTGTCGCAGGACAGCCGAATCTGCTGAAGATTTGGCGTAGTTTTGTTACAGTGGCATTGGTGGTTGTGCTATCCATGAGAAATACTTCAGGCCACTTGCTGTATGAGTCGACTATAATGAGGAAACTTCGGCCGTTGATCGGTCCTGCGAAGTCGACATGGATGCGGCACCATGGTTTAGTGGTTTTTGGCCATGAATAGAGCTCTGCTTTTTGTGGCGCTTTCAAGGCATTTGCGCACTTTTGGCATCGTTTAGCTATTTCTTGTAGTCGTTTGTCCATGAAGGGCCAGTATACATAATTGTGGGCACGCACCTTCATCCGGTTGATCCCAGGATGCTTGGCGTGGAATTGTCGAATAAGGGGCTTCTGAAGTGCCTTGGATATGACCACTCTCCGAAAATAGTATGCAGTCGTTTACAATAGAGAGTGAGTGTCTCCTCTGGAAGTACTGTTACAACTCGGCAGATGGACATGAACGTGACCAACTTGTTTTGTGAAACTGTGTAACTTTCTTGAGTACTGGGTCTCTAAGCGTTTCGGTTCGTACAGCTTCTGCGGTAACTGCTAAACCGTGCAATGCATCACTTATCAGATAGTTGACACAAGCTTCGATCTCGACCGAGGCAATGATTGTGTCCTCATGTTCTTGCTGGTGGACATCAATTAGGCGTGACAGTGCATCCGTTTGGCCAATGGAAATTGTCGACTGGTAGTGTATCTCGAAATCATACCCCAATAAGGTAAGAACCCAACGTTGTAGCTGGTTGGCTGTGTAGGGAATCTGTCAATAGCTTATTGCAAAGCTTGAGAGCCACTAGAGTCGCGCACCATGCATCAGCATCTCAAGTCGTCCACGAACATGAGGGCACCCCCATCACTTGCAGAAGTACGTTTACGTACACGGCAAACACAAGCGGACCAAGTAGGGACATTTTTGGGACCGCTTGAAATAGCCTTTCGAAGAAAAGGCTAGAACATATCCGAATACACATTTCTCTCCAATCACAAAATGCTGATAGTAATCGAAGCGCGCGCTAGGAGACGCCGCAGGAACCTCTTCTTAAAGGAAAGATGAGAACGTGGAGCGGTCAAATGTTCTAAAGAAGTCATTAGCTAGCACCTCCACTGCTTGACCATGGTAGACAGGCTCTATCCAGCTCTAGCAACTAGCAGATTAGACAGACAGGAATACTCTTTGCGAAAACCAAGTTGAAATGTTCTGAGAATGCCAAATGGTTTGAAATGGTTTTCGAGGGCATCTCTCACCAACTTTTCTGGCAATTTACTCAGCACACTGGGTAGGCCAAAGTGCCTGAAGTTCGCAGAAAGGTGCCGAAAACTTTCTTTTAGCTACGGGACAGGCAGCAGCTTCCTTCCATTCAATAGGTAAAGCGCAACTAGCAAGAGACTTTCGAACTAGCACGTTACGGACTCACAAACTTCCCCCGCCAGCTCATGTGATAACTTTGGGTGAATGATAGACACCAGCGGCTTTAGCAGGATACATGTCCAGAAGCGGTCAAAGCACTTGGACTTATGATACGTGAATATCGGTCAGCAGGGAATCACCCGGAACTTTCTCCTCTGAATCATTGGTTCTCGCATACTGTTCGCGTTGTCGGTAATCAGTGTGCGCGTTAATCTCACTGGGTCAGTGTACCACTGGCATTGATGAATTCGCACGACCTGGTCTTCTGGCATCGGCAGTAGGCCGGTACGCCGTACCGACCCTTTGCTGTTGAACAACCACCACCAGTTGCACATGGGCTAAGGATACTGAGAGAGTAGCTTAGTCCTCACGCAGACTCGAACTTTCGCCCTCAGATTACAAGGCAAGCTTATGCTCCTTAAGACTACGGGTTGGTCGAAGCTATATTTTCTAGTTCCGTTTTGTAACGAAGTTGGGCATCCCTTGGATGCTGCCTACATACGTTCCATGCTGTTCGATAACACCGCATTGCGCCATCTGTTTGGGTCGAAAGTTCACTCAGCCAACAACTAGCCTGTTAATTCAGCAGTTGACATGCCGTTAGATCAAACCAGGGTAATCTACTGTTTCCCTTCCTAACTGAAAGCGGAATGTGTGGAGGGGACACCCGAGAAGGGAGTGCTTGGAGCTTTCCTCATGTCTTCTGGATACCGTCTGCTGCCAAACTGATGCAGGGTGGCATGGTAGCTCTGGATCTCATTGTATGAAAATCTGCGCGCTTGATATTCGGATCACTAACCGCGCGTTTTTCTTGGGCTGTACTGAGGACACGTTCGAGTGTAACGCAAGCATGGTCACTAGCTCTAATTGGCTGACCGTAAACGATGTTACTTACGAAGTCGACTGACTCCAAAAATAGGAACAAGAATGGACAGAGGTCTCTCCTTGTGGGCTGATCCACAAAGCGATGTAGGGGGCTTGCAACGTGAGCTCCACCAGTTAAGTAGCTAAGCCCACAGTCGCAGTTTCACAGAAGAGGGTGCTCCAGTTGATCTCTGGAAAATTAGAGTAACCCATCACAAAGCCCCGGTTTGTAGAATGATCGCGAATAAAATCGGTATAACATATGGAAGCGATACCAGGGCTCCTATATACTAGCATAATCTTAGACTGCGAAGACAAGGTGCACACTTCGACCGAAAAAGTTTCGACAGCCCTATCCGTTAGATGGAACTTGTATGTTTTGGAAACAGGAGTTTAGATAAACTCCAACTTCACCTCCGCAATGGTCTCAGGGATTATCCGACTTCAGTAGTGCGTAGCCAGGTAGAAATATCTCACTGTCCATGACCTCCGAAGACAACCACGTCTCATTGAAAGCGGGGACATCTGCGTGAGAGTGATCCACAAGAGCGCCAACTTTGTACATCTTGTTACACAGGCTACACACGTTACTGTATGCTACATGAAGGGTATTAGTATGGTGAGTCTAGGATTATGTGCTACCAGAACAGTGTGGATGTTGACCGCCATGCACCACCCCAAAAACCTACCAACCTCAGATCACTTTCACCCGCAGTGCGACGTAACTGGATGTTTTGCATGGCTGCCTTTAGTTTCTTCACTCTGTCAGCTAGAGGAAGCTCCGGTTTTATGCTGACTCCAGAACTCTTTAGTTTAAAAGTGGATTGTATAAGCTCTTAGCGCTTCTCCACTGTGGAAAGGACCACTTGTAGAAGGCGAGGCCTAGTATTGGGACTACTGACCGGCACGCCTCCAAGTCTGGTTAACTTATGCACGGTCACTCCAGGGAGTCTAGGCGGGAAGAGTTTATTAACGTAAATTTTAAATCATTCGAGAGCGTGTTACATTCTTCCTGGGAGGTGCAGCAGAGAATTTGATAACATTTCTTAATATTGCGCTACTATCCGTTTACAGGTCTGACGTGGGGTGTTTACAGCTCGTGTTACAGAACCACGGGATGGGGACACGTGCAACATATCATGTGTCTGTGTAGAACTGGTGGTTGTATCAGACGGACCTTGTGGAACAACGATAAAACTCTGTACCGTTGGCTTTTTACTCGGATAGAGGGAGAGAATTACATCATCAGTACGCCGGTACGCAGAATTGACGCTTCGCAGCCGCTACCAGTCGCACATGGGCTAGGGATATTGCGGCACAATAGCGGAGGTGTTTTTTCCCACCTCTAGCTGATGTGTATAATGATGATGGTGATGAGGGATATTGCGAAGGTTGCTTGGCCTCTACGCAGGCTCGAATCGGCGTCTTCGGATTACAAATCAGGCTTGTGATCCATAAAGCTACTGGCCAGCTTTGTACTCGGGGGACTTGCCGCACACGCTGCGTCCCCGTTCTCTTGCACTTTAAGTGAACGTAACACTTTCTTAGTCTTTCTCCGCTTTCTTTTCACAGGCGCATGAACGGAGTCAAAAACATCGTCTGGTGAGTTGCCACTGACAGAAGACGCGCTTACAGGAAGAGGTAAGATCGTCAGGCTGATCAAATTTGAAGAATTGCACAAACCCTCAATATTCTGCCGGCCAAGTATGCGTGCCTTTTCAAGGCTAGATACGATCCTATTGACTTTCCGGCCTAGGTCGGGTAACAGGAAAAGTAGGTTTTCCATACTTTCTAGCCTGGGAATTAGTGCCGAAAATATTGCATCCGAAAGCAGACAACACCGGGTCCTGTGTTTGCAACAAGTAGGACAACTAAAGAGCACACTCCACTGTTCTTCATAACACTATATTGTTCTGAACTCAAACCAGTGCCTTTCGTGAAACCAACGGCTGCAGATGTCACATTGCATCCCAATATTAGATTCAGCTACTGGTTCTGAGCACTTCAGCTTACCGCGTTGTGTCTCTCAGTCAGCTGTTGGTACAATCAAAGATTTAGGACAGACTCTTTTAGCCATTACAAGAGGGAACGTAGGCAAGTGGTTAAAAGAAAGTATGACGTAGACCAGCTTTCAGTAACTTACTAAGCAAAAAACGAGATGCTTGATCGGATATTACCTGGCGTGATTCGTCCGTACAGATTTGGACTCACCAAGTGTAAAAGGTAGGAATCCACAGGGTGAACCGCCGGCCAGAGGTGAAGCAGGGAGCATACAGTTCTCTCGATAGAGCAGCGACGCCATTGAGTGGGGAACAGTTCTCCAGAAAAATCAACAGTATAGCGGAAAAATCAAACAGGACTAGAAATCCGTGTGAACGGGATTCCGAGTTATTCGGGGATTGCGAACTTACCTGATGAAGAAGATGCCTCGCGATACTTGGCAAGCACGGAGCGCTTGATCAGATTTACGCGTTTGCAGATCAACCCAAATAGCGCTGAACCGACGAAATATCGATAAAATCCGATTGCGTTTGGAGCGGCGTCTTCAAACCCAGATGCAAAGATAGTTCAACCGAGAACCAAGTACAGTACGCCGAAAATTCAAATCCTCGAAAAACAAAGCAGGGCAAGCCAACTGCCTTTCGTGGACGTATTAGTGACAAGAACCATGGAGGGATGTCTTCTCATCATCGTCGTCAATACACGTTAGCCGCGGATGAGAAACACACCTCAGCTAATGTGCCGCAATTCAAACAAGATAAGCGATTGACCATCACGGACTACAGAAGCTAAAAATGTAACAAAATACTAAAATCACATTATGTATTGGGTGGAGATCGTTGTTGGAAGGGGAAGCTAAAGAGGAGGGGAGGGACAAAGAGACTGAACACAAACGCCATTGACATCGGCTAGTCGCCATGTCAACTGGTGTATTCAACCAAACGTATTCATCGTCCTTCGTACCCCAGCCCTGCAATCAGGAAGTACCAACCGACACCAAGTTCTGAGTAAGGAACTTTGTTCCTTTCGACCAGTTCATCGCTTGGCCTCCCCTCCTCTTCTTCCATCCAGACCTCGGGTACACAAACAACGCACGACGCTGGAGTCAGTGGGCTGGCATGCGCAACACGTGGCCCAACCATCGGAGTCTGATACGTAATATAAAACTCAAGTCAAGTCAGTATAAGCTTTATGTACCCAAATGAGTGCATTTTCAGCATTTTACGTTATCAACTGTAAATTTACCTCAAGGTTACCACTAAAAATGCTAATTTTGCAAATGGGCAGGAAAATGAGGATGCACTGTCATTGATCGATCGCGCAACGATCTCAAAAGCTGAACTAACTCTTCAGGATTTGTATCCATTAAAAACGGAAAAGGCTTCATAAAAATGTTTCTTCAGAATTCGTTTCAATTGAATACTGCATACTGAGAATATGCGACGAGCAGAGATTCCTCTGTGTAGTTGCATCTAATATTTTTCTTGCAAATCAACCTATTATGATGGTGATTATTCTCAAGTTCAAGTTCATTTGGGACCAGAACAGCAGGAAAATCCCGCGAATGTTCCGCCTTCGAAATCGTTGCGCCACAGGGAATGCGGTGGATTGATCTGCCAAATGAGAGCCAGATCAACACACACGATTCACATGGTCGACCAAACAATGCCCACGTGCCATGCACTAGCAGTCCCCGCTGTGTCGGCCACGTGAATAAAAGAAAACAAAAGGAAATCAGAGGAAAGACACGCTTGCCAAATTACATAAGTAATATTGAGATGCAAGTGAAAATGAATTAATGAGAAGTAAGCTGTGATAGAGGAGTAAAAGCTTAAGGCATGAAGGGGAATATCTTAAACTGCAGACCGAGGACGTCAAGTCGATGTTCAAACTCTTTCACTGTCGGTGCCATTACGACTTCTGCGGGCAGCGCATTCCTATAACCTATGACTTTACGCGATAACCGAAAAGCTGCTCCAACCCGGTCAAATCAGGGTTTGTGCAACTTCAATGGGTGACCACGAAGGATTGGCACTCGAGTTGGGTGGAACAATCCAGTTAAATCATTACCAACCTGACCCATTAGTATGCGATATGTGAGGACCAAATCGCCACGAAGTCGCCTGTAATGCATGGAAAACTTACGTAGGTTCTCAGGGTACGTTAACTTCTATAACCCATGCACCATTTTCGTCCCAGACCGCAAGACCCTTTCAATTGCCATCCTGTCACGAACGAGGCATAGGGGACAAACCTGTACATAGTATTCCAAGTGCGGCCTTACAGAAGCCGAAAATACTTTAACGAACATTTCAGTCGTCATGATCCCAAATGACCTCCGGATCATCCACAACTTGCCGAATCCTTTGCGAGCAGATGCCGCCCAATGTTCACTAGACTTAAAGTCTGGTGACAGCAAGACTCCTAGGTCAGCTTGGAGTTGCGCCTGCGGCACTTCGTTTCCACCAAGCAAATAACTCTTCGGTGGGTCATTTGGTCCTACGCGTAGGACTGAACATTTCACGAGATTCAAGGGCAACTGTCACGAAAGGGACCAGTCCCAAAATCTATCCAGAGCCCATTATAGGGTCATTGGACCAGTCGGATCGTTGACTGTGAACCAGAATTTTAAGTCATCCGCAAACACGGGATGGCGCCTCCAGCTCATCAGGTAAGTCGTTAACGTATAAACTGGAGAGAACGGGGCCGAGGACTGAACCTTAAGGGACCCCACTGAGAACGCATTGTCGAAAAGACAGGCCGGAACCCACACGAACACTCATCTCCCTTCCGATTAATAAAGCTGAAATCCATTTAAGACTAGTTCAGAAATACCGTAGGCTTGCAGCTTGTACAGAAGACGCGAATGCGGAACCGAGTCAACAGATTTGGAAAAGTCAATGAACATCACGTCCACTGCCTTCCCTTGCTCGACAGCTTCGGCCCAATGTTTTCGAGCCACTAATAAGTTAGTAAGGCAAGAATAACCCTTACGAAAGCCGTGTTGAGAGGGGTTGAGAAACCCAAAAGCTCTTAAATGTCCTTCGAGAGTGTCTCACAAGTTTTTCCAACAGCTTGACCAGCGCGCTCGTCAAACTGACTGGTCTATAGTTATCAGGGAGGTGTTTGTCACCTTTTTTAAGAATGGGACATATAACAGTCGATGGGTAGAAAGCAGCTTTCTAGAGACTACTCAAACAGATGCGTAATCGGAGGGCAAAGTTCATCAGCCAACTCGTACAACTTGGGATGAATGGCATCTACCCCAGCAGAAGTCGGAGCACTTGAGCCTCTGTTATGGAAACCTCCTCCAGGAATAAGCCCTCAGTAACTTTTACTTGCAGACTAATATGCGGCATCTGGGATCCTCGAACCTACATATCTGCATACTGTTCACCGAGTAAACAAGCTTTGTCGTATTCTATGACAGCAGCAGAACCATCAGGGTCAAACAACACCGGGATGAACGTATTTATGTTGCCTCGCCTTTTGACATAAGCGAAAAAGTGTTTTGGATTACATGAGGCTGTACGAGCAAGCTCAACTTCATATTGTAGTCGAACACGTCGCAGATGCTGCCTGCAGGCATTTCGATCCTCGCGGTAGCGCTTGTAGGTGTATGATAAAGGAGCAGATAGATAAGTTCGCCAACACCTCTTACATCTGTTAACTTGTTTGCGTGCGGCAGAATCAAACCAGGGTGGCTTTACTCTAGTTTTATTCCTCCCAGCAAGTGGTATGTGAGGGAAAGAGAGCTCATATAAATAGGACTTAAATTTGTCCCAAGCTGCCTGAATATTGTCAGTTTCCAAAATGACGCAAGGCGATTTTGCAGCCTTGGCTTTCATTGCTTGAAAGTCAGCACGCCATATATTTGGACCCCCGTCGGGACGATCATTAGTCATACGACTAACAGCGCACTTGAACAAAAAACAAGCGTGGTCGCTGGCACCGAGAGGTGAGTTGTATACCATGTCCGTGACAAAATCAGCGGATTTAGCAAAGATATGGTCCAAGTGAGACGTTTTGTCCCATCATGAATCTAGTGGGCCGATCAACGATGTGATGCTGAGGAGTATGCAAGACTAGATCGAGAAGCTCAGTAGCGAAACACCTTGAAACAGCATCACAGGATAAATTCTGCTAGTCAACCTCGGGGAGATTAGTCCCCCATCACCAAACACCTATCCGCCGAATGTTCACGGATAAAATCAATGAGACCACTAGCAACGCTATCAGGGCTTTTATATACCAGCACAACTTTAAGTTGCGCGGATGCAATACAAAGAAACTGCGAGTGCCTCAACAAAACCGTCTGGTGAGCGGAAAGTGTACGTCTTAAAGACAGTAAGGGTGGAGTTGACGTACAAAGCAACGCCACCTCCGCGACGATCGGAGGTGCGGTCACACCTCAGTAGTGCGTAGCCTGGTAAGCACACTTCACTGTCCGTGACGTCGGTGGACAACCACGTTTCAGTGAATGCGAGAACATCTGGACGGCAGTCGTCGACAATGGCGCCGACTTCGCTCAGCTTGTTCCGCAGGCTACGCACATTACTGAAGATAACCTGTAGGGATCTAGCGACGTGGGTCCGGGATCGTGCTCCACCAGAACGGGTTCTGACAGGGCGGAAGTGGAC